GCCAAGTCATTCCATGTTACATACATTTCTGCACAATCTTCTGCTGTTCCCAACCAGTTATTAGGTTCGCCAGCTCTCCAGGCCGTAAAGGTTGCACGGGATCCATCCACCCAAAGCCAAAGGGACTTATTCGCGGGATCCCTGTACAAACCAATCCAGTATGTAGTCCGAACTGTCTTTGGGACAAGTGCTTGATATTCAGCTTGGGAATTGATGGACACCAGATTGGATCCTAGTCTTTGACAGGCAGCTTTGGCCGAGTGCCAATTGAGTCGCGTAGAGGAGAACATGTAGCAGGAACCTTGTAGGTTGATCCAGTTGTTTGGACATGTCGCTGGCACAGGAGGATACAACACGTTCACTGCGAAAAAATATGATGGAATTGTCTCCACTGATTAATGGGCTAGGATATCATTATAATATTTATGTGTCTGCTTATTTAGAGTTGATCGTTGTTTCTTCCAAACATCTTATACCTTAACGTTTTACCATGGACCCAAAACTTTCTTACTTCTTTCTTTGAATGATAATAATGATGATTTTGATAATGCTAATAGTAATAATAATGATGATAATAATAATAATGATAATGATGATGACGGTGTTGATGATGGTAATAGTAAAAGTAATAGCAATAGTAATAATAATAATGATAGTAATGACAATAAAAGTAGTGATGATGACAATGGATAAAACAGAAGCTACAGTATAAAAAAAAAAAACCAGAATCTTCACTTACTTGGTTTAGTTTCGCAGATGTAATAACCCGGGTATCTGCATGCCAAGTCATTCCATGTTACATACATTTCTGCACAATCTTCTGCTGTTCCCAACCAGTTATTGGGTTCGCCAGCTCTCCAAGCTGTGAAGGTTGCACGGGATCCATCCACCCACATCCAACGGGACTTTTGCTGAGGATCCCTGTGTAAACCAATCCAGTATGTAGTCCGAACTGTCTTTGGGACAAGTGCTTGATATTCAGCTTGTGAATCGATGGACACCAGATTGGATCCTAGTCTTTGACAGGCAGCTTTGGCCGAGTGCCAATTGAGTCGCGTAGAGGAAAACATGTAGCAGGAACCCTGTAGGTAGACCCAGTTGTTTGGACATGTCGCTAAACCAACATGAATAATAGAAAAGGGTCAATTTGGTTTCCTGACTTAACGTGCAGAGGGTAATCGGTTGAAATACAGCTGAAACAAAGATCAGTATCAGCCTGTTTATTTACACGTCTTGTATTCATTCTAGTGCGACCTTTGCCATTAGCAGTAAATCAAATTTGTAGTGAATTCTTAAAAAGAACGCGCGTCATAACTGAGGAATGTCTTAGGGGAACCTGTACCGAAGAGCGGAAGGTTTCAAAATCGGAAAGGCCTCCAGCAGCTAGAGTGTTGACATTTGCCGCGGGCTTTCGTCCGGGATCTTGATTTGCATATCTTTTTTTACATCGCGTCTTACGCTGCACAACAATTAAAGAGAATTTCAGGCACATTTCTCAAAAAGTTATGAAAGAGCCCACGTGAAATAGCCAAAAAGAGAAAAGTCGAAGAAATCGAAGTTAGGTTTTTCTTTTTCCCTAGATTGCTTTGCCAACATTTCCTTATGTCTTTTTTCTTGCGATTAATTTTTCAATCCATTGAAATTTCGTTTTTCCCGGTTCACCAATGACCCTCCCCGCGAATTTCAAAGGAGTTGATTCGTTGTGACAGGTTGCGTGTCGATGTTGCGTTTCATTGGTCGGTGGCATGACTGCATTGAGACGGGCTCAAAAGAAGGTGCGAAAACTGTGAGTTTCTTTAGAGGCCGAAAACTCGAGGTTTGTTATTACGCAAGTTACCTGTACTTAAACGAATTAATAGGGTGTGTAGATTTGTTGGATTTTCAAGAAAATCGTATATATAAACGCTCTAACCTGTGTGAGACTTTTACGAAATTCGAAATATTTCTCTAGTGACGTCCCTGAGCGTGACAAAAACTGAAGTATTTTTCTGTTGTCCAACTTCAAAACAGATTTTCTAAACAACCGATAAGAATATGGAAAATGCCTTACACACTCTTTTAGCTGAGTGACATAGTTCGATTTGTTTTGAGGTCTGCGATGACGCTGAGGCTGGTAATTCAGTGAAGCAAACGCCGTCGGTTTTTTGTTATAAGGCTCGCACCTCCCTACAAGAACAAAAACTATGAGAACTTTTGTTATTTGCGTAATCTTCCCTTTCTAAGCTTTACAGTGATATATAATTCTCCATGTTTTCTTTAAAAGTAACGCGCGTATGATGATTTTTCCGTAGGGTACTCTATTTTGTTGACAGTAACCTTAAAAACTATGAAATGGGAATACACACAAACTCACTATGACGTGCACAAATGTAAACTGTCCTCATATCATGGATAATACTTTAATCTCTCCTGCGAGACTCAAATAAATACTGTACCACATCTCTGTGAAAATAATTACGTCGTGGAAAAAAACATGAATGAGCGGTAATTGGATATAATGATATAATGTGTAATAATTCCTTTGTTAACATCCACTCGATGATGTTTAGGAATTCTAACTCAGTTACGAACAGTCAGTAAGTCCAAAGCGGACAAAATGCTTGAGATTGATTGAAAATTATACCCAACATTGATGCTTTTTGGGCTCAAGAGGCAAGTAATAACGGTAAAGTGCAGCCTATTCAATATGTAAAACCGCGGTGGTGAGAGTCGTGTTCAGGAAATACTTTTAGTTTCTTCAATTTTATCCTCTAGGATTATGAATATCACGAAAATCCCAGTAAGACTAGTGCCGTATAGCGAGCTTGCTATCGTCTGACCCTTATAAATTTCACAAAGCAGTCGTGTTTATCTACCAATTTGATTAACAGCCTCTCTTCAAAGAGAGTTCCTAAGGCAACTCAGTGGAAGATATTATAGAGATTTAGCAAGAGGACGGGAACGTCATTTCAGAACGGGAGAGCGCGCGGAATAGTCTGGACACGACACCATTCGACTTCCGGTGTTAGCGTTGCCGTTCTCCCAAACAAGTTTAGGACGTCACTTTGTTGGTTTTCCCGTCGCGATCAGAACGTCTCCGATTTCCGTCAATTGTGCACTTGTAAATCGATCCAAACGAGATAATACTGTTTGGAAGTATTTCAATACTCATGTTCAGGATAATTGGGTCCCTTTCTTTGTTTTAATCGGTGTATTTTTGAAAACTTGTCGCTTCAATATGCTGGTTCCCGAAAGNATATTCAGTAAACAAGGGGAAAAACGATGATGATTTCCAAACTATACTTTGTAAAATTGCGAAGAAAGATGAGCAGTGCTAAAATCTAATGGCATGGCACGAAACGAAAAGACAGCAACACAAATCGCAAAAAAAATATCTAATGGGCTCTAACATTCGATACAGGAATCAACAGACACGAGTCTTACCTGGAATGGATCAATTATAGAGTTTAATCGCCCATCTAACTTTCCGTAACTATAATTATCCTCTGTTTGCGCTTGTTGCATCACTCTCAAAGATCAAAGAGGATAGTTTCGCTGTCCTTCAAGCTGTTTTTGAAAGCGAAAATTTGTGTTGGCGATCTTTGAAAAGCCGAGTTTAGGCTATTGAAAAACAGATATTGCCATGGCGTCTCGTTGCAGCGACTGCTATATCACTTCTGAAACACAACGGGGCGACGTTCTCGACCGAGTTTCTTACCAGTATTTTTACTGCGCGCGCCATTGTCAACTGACGTTCCCGTCCTCTTGCTAAATCTCTCTATTGGCAAATGAAGGCACCCTTAATTTGTGTGGACTTACCTCGAGAGGTTCCCCTGATTATCAAGACTGACAATGCTATGAAAAATGCCGACAGCCGGTGAAAGACGATCATACTAATTTAAGACTGGAACTGATTGGAACTGTTTCCAAAACAAGAATCCTGACTAGTACTGTGACTGTAACTCCGGCTAGAAAGACTCCAGTTTCTAAGATGGAGATAGTTTGCTGATTATGAATTTAGCCGTAGCTTACGGCTCCGCTTTTATTTCTTAATTTTAATACAAAACCAGGAACTTACCTGCTTTGATCACGTATGATCATGGATAACGCTGTTGACCTGTAATGACGTTTAAGGTAAGCTTCAGATATTTCGACACCGCATTTTGCGCTTCAGACATCGCAGCAGTTTATTAGTCACGTAAAAATACCAAGCTAGTTCCTTGAGACCTCTTGAGTGCGCTCTTTTTTAAAGAAACAGCCCTCATTGGAATGATGCTTTTAATATATTGCTATTTGCGAAGCGTCTGCTCGATAGTATCAACAACTTCTAAGCATAAGTACAATAAAAAAGCTCTTATCTTTGTAACATGTTCACTCCGAGAACCTTGTCCTTTTTGATCTTCGTGGCGCAAGCCAAAAATTGTACTTGCCGAAACCAAACACTGACTTCCTGAAGCGTAGCTTCAGTTATAGCGGAGCTTCTCTATGGAACCATCTTCCTGAGGATATTTGCACTACAAAAGCTCTACGCATCTTCAAGTGAAGAATTGATAAATAGCTCTCTGTATTGGGCTCCCACACGGCAAATATGTAAACCAGTTAATAGAAAATTTTACTTAAGATGAATTTATTCTTTGTTTTCTATTGCCATACTGATATTTTTACCGTATTTTAAATAAAGATTTCATTTATTTATTCATTCATTCATTATCAAAACATTTGAAATCAAAATATTTTTTATTTATTTTTGATAGAGGACTTTTCGGTTGACTGGGTTCGTTGTTTGATTATTTAAACTTCAGTGTACCAGAAGCCCACCTACTGTTTTGGAAATACGTGTTTTGATCGCGTTATACTGTAGACTATGCCAGGTGCTAGACTCATCATGTGTATCGCACTCTATGAAGCTTGAACTCAAAACAACTTTAAAAATGTCCCAAGCGTTTTAAGATATATTCAAAGTGAAAGGTAACAGCGCATTTTCGTTCACTTGCGGCTAAGAATTATACTTTTGGTTAGAAGCATAAAAAAATGGAAAAACTAATCAAAATCATTTCTTGCGCACGTCGTCCTGGGTCCAGTTGTATGAAAGGTGGATAACGCGGATAAATCACTATCCAGCAGATAAATGATAGCAAATCGCACTACGTTATCCAACCTTTGAACTACCGGGACCAGATGCAAAACCTTTATAGGGCTCAAAACACGATGAGCAGTCGCTTGAATCCTTGCATAATAAAGAAATAGACAGTTTAAGTCTACATGTGGCTACTAATAAAGCACAATTTTCATAACATTAAAAAGAATAAGAGGTTGTATAACAACGCTCGGGGGTAGAGTTGCGGAATATTTGTCTCACATGTGAAACAGAAAACCTACCGCATCCCACACATTTCTGAGCGTGACCCTGTTCCACAAGAGAAAGATGATTCAAGAATATACTGTCTAATCGACATTCAACCAATAATTAAATGGTAACAAATAATAGTGTTAACAATAATAGTAATAATATAACAATATCAATAAAATATTGATTTAAAGGGGCCAGCTCGAAAAACTCATGGTTCCCCAATCTTCCAGGCTCCAACCATGATTTCCTATGCTTCTTTTAATGCGTAAGTTAATTATAAATAATTTCCCTATTTTATTCCAATTCTATTTTGTGAGACTTTTGTTTCATACAAAAAGGTGCTCTGCGTTCTAGGATATTTCGTCACTCCGCGCCTTAACATATTCCGCAATTCTGCCGATTCACCGTTCCTCCGTTCCATCATTCCATTAACGGCTCCTTTCGGCTTAGGTCGCTGATTCAAACAGTAAATGGTCTCTTTTCAAAGAAAAAATTTCTCAATTACGCGTCGGTGCATGATGCCATTGTGAAATTGTTTTGAGATGTTCATCGTCTTTTATAATGTCGCGGCAAGAACTGAAACGATTATCATATCTTCGGATCTACATAATTTTCGGACTTAAACGGTAAAATGCTCTCCCTTCGAAGAAAAAACATTCCTTAAAGTTTTATGATGCGCAGATCAAACCTATTGAAATATTTCTGCAAGGAAAACTTTGTTATTTAAAATCGCACGCAATCCTAAAATGATGAGATGCTTTACGTCTTCTGCTCCTGTGCTGTAATGATAAGAACTGCTGATAACATAAAGTGCTAGTAGCTGTTCTTAGTTTTCACATGACATCATCAAAATTTAAAAAAATACGAAATTATCAAACCTTTTGAGATTTTAGTTAAATTAGTTGTTAGAACAGCTGAAGACCTATCTTTTAGCAAATTTTCAGTGTGATAGGATTTTTTCTTGTGAGAAGAATGCAATGACTAATCCAGTGACGTTCCGTAATCGGAACGGTCCTTGAAAGAGAATACGCTCTCATATCGATGTTAATGAGCCCTGAGAATACGGCTACAGGCTTTAAAGCAAAACTCGATGACATATGTTTTTAGTTAGCTTCCAGTCGCCATATTTGTGCCCTTCAGAGGGACACAAACATTGCGTCTCCATACAAAGCCCGATAAATTTGAGTAAAGCACATGTTCGAAATATCTCTCGCCCGAAACATCGTACAGACCTGAATCTTTGCGAGGCTGTTTGAATATCCATCTTCTTTTGTCTCTTTGTTTCTTGACTTTCTTTGTTGAATGGTTTTGATAGTGTGACAGTGAAAACTGGCAATAAGCGAGAAAACAAAAGGAGAAATAGTCAAGGGGCTAACTCTGAAAAAGGCCTTATCTAAAGAGATGGTTCAACCCACCCAACAGAAAAGATCTAGCAGCGGATTCTTATAGAAGAATAACTGCTCTTTAATACTAGGTACTATGTAGTGCTGAATTGTGTGGGATTAGCCCTTAATCCTCTTACCTACCAACCGCGCTCGACTTATAAATATCCTGATGTGATTATACAACAGTTCAGTTGACCTCAGGCCTTGCTCTTGTGAGCTCCTCTGCTCATTAAATATATAGCTTTAAATATATACTTGGCCTCCACTCTTTCTTTCGCCTCCGATAATCGCACAAATTGTGGTACCGCTAACGAGATAGACGGGGGTCTTTTTCCAAATTTGGCTTTCAACATAGAAACGAGGCTTAACCATTTTTCACCCTGTAAACCTAACGACTCTTATCAAATTATCCCAGAAAACACTTAAAGGTGTTTACAACGTCTGCAGCTTTAATTTGAGTGATAATGAGCCCAAACCAAGTCACGTGACATGTCACGTGACTATTTCTCGTCCAAAATTCACTTTTTGAGCCAAATCTAGCAAGTTTCAATTCTTTCAAATGCCCAAATAACCAATCTTTTTATCCTTTAAGCCTTCCAATACAACATGTAGGTCTAGTTCTGTCCATTTGTGCAAAAGAAATCCACCTAGATACACCGACTTGAAGGAAATAAGCGAAATACATGCACGACCTCATTTTAATAGTCGTCAGCATGAAAACGAGGCTGAGACCAGAACGAGCTTAAAACATGTGAAATTTTCAAAACTAAACACAATTTCAACATGTGACTTTTAACCAATAAGAGTCTCAACCAGTGCTTAGGCCTCTTAGCGCTTATTTGTTGCCATGGTAATGGTTACCATTGCTAACATTCACCAATTTCAATTTTTCTGGCGTAAAACAAAATTCGTTAGCAGTTAGAACGTGATTTCATGGTTTTATATAGTTACGGTTGTATTGAGTAGTTGGGGACATCATGGTGAGGGGTAAATCTGGAGTAGCTTCAAGGTATTGGGTAATTGGCTGTGCAGTACAGAATTTGAAATAATTTCTGGTCGACCGATGAATACTCCAAAGGTAACCTGATAAGTGTAGTAAGAAACGTGCACACTGTTTGCAAGTTATGGTGTGTATTTCAACTTTTACTTGGTAATACAGCAAAGAAAGACGTGGGAAAGCGATAAAATATATACAGTTTACATTAGTTTACACAAAAAAGATGAAAACTTTAACTTGTACAAAGCATATACTTTTTCACTGGATTGTTCTCTTAATACATCTGTCATAACAATTACTATTATATCCTTGTTTACTGGCGTTAGAGTACTTTTTAACGAAGCAAAACTCGAACAACACATGCTTCACTTCAAGCTGCAGAAACGTTTACTCTTGACGAGGGATATATCAGTATGCACAGTTTTGCAGCATAGATATAATCAGATACAATGAAATATATGAAGTTCATATATTTTGGACTGCGGTATTAGATACGTATGGTGCACGATCCTCGCAGTAGATAGTGCTATTTAAGCAATAGCGAAAAAGCTATTGCGATACTAGAGCGCTGCACTAGTATCGCAGAGGTCAGTGATTCGAGTCCCGTGCAGGCCTGATTTTTTTTTCAGGTCTGATTTTCGCTATTGCTTAAATAGCGCTATCTACTGCGAGGATCGTGCATCATACGTATAGATATAATGATCGTCACTCACTCAGTCTTAGACGCACTAGAATCGTCACAGAAAAGGTGGTATTCATTCATAGGTTTGCAGCATCCTTCATCATCTGCCATACACAAGCAGACCTCGGTGGATGCAAGATCGTTCATCTTGCAGGAACAGTTGCGTTTGTATTCAGAAGTTGTGCAGCGGCACGTTGTCAGCTCATTAATGCCTGACGGAGCAAGAGGTCTTGTTATCAGAAGTGGAACAAGCTTGTCATTGTCCAACTTCCATGCATTTCCTTTTGGCGAGGGAACATTCTGAATTGACACTAGAGTTCTGTTCCAAAAAAAAGCTTGAAAGTTTGCTCTCTCAATATGATGACAAAGACATTTTGATGTGGGAGGAAGGTCCTCACTCTTCAGACTCTTCTGACATAAAAGGAAATATCGGGCTTCAACTGCATTCACAAAGCTTTTCCCAGACGCGTAAGTAGAGCAGATTAAAGATTCAGCGATTTCCCTTACAGGGTCTTGTAGGGAGGAACTTTCTCCTAGTCTGCTGAGATCGCCCTGTATCTGATTCTTCTTGATTAACACCTTCCAG